CCCCCCACCACACACACACACACACACACACCCATTTTCTCCTCCTCCCCTCCAACGTAGATAATGACCGGTCCATAAGTAGCAACTGGCTTGCATGTATTGGTGAGGAATTGGTAACATGTGGATAGAATCCGCAGGACAGGGGATACTTTTGTTAAATACACTGTCACCCGTGCGATATATGCCATTAACACCATGCCGAGAAAAAATACAGTCATGTCACCCTAAAACACACCTAAAACCGATTGAAGCATTCTCCTGTCAAAAGACAATCTCCTGTCAAAGAGGTAATATTACGGCCGCAGGACTTGTAGCACTAATCAACTTAATCCTAACCTAATCAACTTACGTCCTCGCCTAACCAATTATCTGCTCTATTTCTCGTAAAGCTCAGCGCCTCGTACTTTATCTATACCATATAACATCCCTAGGTATGTATCGCCAACAAGCACACAATCACCACAACATGACTCTGTTGCTATCGAAAACGAAACATCTAGCAGGGACTTTTATACATATGGGAAAGGAAATTTTTAAGAGCACTATCACTAGCAATCTGTATAGGTTTTGAGTGTAGCTAAACAAAATTGTTAAAGCACTAGTCCCACTTTACAAATATAAACATTAGTAAGAATAATAAAAATGAAATAAGAAATTTATTTCGAATTTATTTGACAATGATGTTTCAAATTTTACATTGGGATGAAAGGCGGATATTCATAGTTCTATTAAAAAAATACTGCTTTTAAACGCTCAAGTGTCGGCATGACATGAGCTTATCACGTTCACTTTTCAAATTCAGCCATTTCTTTTAACACTGACTTAAGGATATTTTAACCCTTTATTATCATCCAAATACAGAAAATGAGATTTTTTTCTGCATCTAACTATTCGATAATGCATCTGTCTTTGTGCTGATTTCAAACAATAAAACAACCCTTGAAAATATAAGATACCGGCGTTTAAATTTTTTCGTTGCAATGTACAAGCATAGGCGTCTCAAAGCTAATCGTCAAATTAACACCTTTCTACTAAATTAAATTGGGGTTAAAAGGTAAAAGAGATGGCACAGTACAACAGGAAGAGTGTTTTTTTTTTTTTGTTTGTTTGTTTGTTTTAAATAATAATAAAACTTACTTTAAAGGAGTTTCTGTTGAAACTCCTTGCTGTAAACTTCAATTTTCAAACATACCGTCCAGACGTGAATTACCGACCAGTGCAGTGTCAGGGTCCTTATTCTTAAATCCTATAAATACTGGACGGAGAGAAACTAAATGGCCGGGGATTTTTTTGTTTATGCCAAAAAAGTACCACAGACGTGCCTCTGTATAATCATCTCAGCGTTGCTTGCTTACACAAAGGAAACATCCAATAAAGATCTCATTTGTCGAGATTTTTTGTGTGTGGGTGATCACACGGCCGCCTTTAGGGTCTTTGTGTAGAGCTGTTAATTCAATGGCACATTTTTAAAAATTAAAAGTAACAAAACTGAGGATATGGGTATTTAATTTAAATAAAAAAGGGTGTTAGGAGGCAGTATTTAGCCCGCTGACATGTTTTATTTCCTCCAGTTTTTATATTTCTCAAAATCATCTGTGTCACCGTCCATATCGATCCGAAAATGTGACAAAATCGATATAGTGTGCATGATTTATGGTTTTCAATTGTAACGTTACCGGCGTTAAGAAAGGCAGTACACTTTTGAAAACAGTTTCATAAAAGAATAATCAAACGCCGATCAGCTGATTAAGTGGATTATGTCAACATTTCCAAGAAGTCGTAACTAGAAACTGACTTGAGTGTATTGACATGGCATAAATAATAAATGGATAGAAACTGAAACGCTGGGGATTTTTTTGTTTACGCCAAGAACAAATCAATACACCGTTGCTTCGTTGTTAGCTATATAAGGGACTTTTATACATACGGGAATTTTTTTGAGTGTAAGCTCGATTATCATGCCATCTTTAGGGCTCTATTGTAACTAAATAATATTATTAACAGAATCACACATAGTCACAAAAACAGAGTTTGAGTTTAAGTGAAAAAGCGTTTAGAAGTGCTATTTAGCGTATAGTTTCGTCAAGATTTCTCTGTCTCACTATCAACACCTGGCACCGTCTATCTCCGAAGGATTATGTGCGTTAAGTCAACACTTCCAAGAAGACGCAAAAAGAAACTGACTTGCGTGTGTTGACATGGCATAAATAGTAAACGGATGGAAACATGCAGGGCCGAGGATTTTTTGTTGTTGTTGTTATTTACTCCAAGAAGTATTAATCGTCACACTGCTGTTTCGTTGTTAGCTATAATGGAAATTCCCATAAGAAACTTTTCTACACACGGGTATTTTTTTTTATTGTGAGCGCAATCATCACGCCATCTTTAGGGCCCTACTGTAACTAAACAATATCATTAATGCAACAAGACACAGAGTTTGCATATGAGTAAAAAATGTGATAAGAGGTGGTACTTAGTCCGCTAACGTGTTTAGTTTCGTCAACTTTATTAAAATTTCCTCGCTATCAACCTCTGACACCGTCTATATCCAAACGTTTATGTGGGCTATGTCAACATTTTCAAGAAGAAGTGACTAGAGACAGCTTTATGATATTGCTGTGTTGTTTACTTCCCTAGCAAAAAAGTGTCACCCCTAACGCAATGCGTATACAGTGTATAAAGTGATACAGAAAATCATGTTAAACCAACTTCTGAAAGGGATTTTTTCACAAAAAATATAATTCTACCACCAACGATAAACTAACCGTAGTAAAAAATCAAAACCACATTTTAGTAAATGAGCAAAAATGTTCATTATCTTGGTAGTTGGATCTTAAATGAAAATTGTCAAACGCAAACCGAAATACATACTTTCATACCGTTAGCTTACGGCCAACCTGGGCGTAGACCTTCATCAGACTGATGTGAGAAGATGTTGATACTCACTGACCACTAGGTGGTATAGCGACCAGGACCCTCTTATAAATGTCGACTGTGAGCCAACGGATACAGTCAAAAAAGCTAGTGATTCTTCCTTATTGTAAAGGAATTTCAGAGAAAGTGTACTCACATATATATTTAACCCACGCCTGTCTAAACTCAGACAATGATTGGGGGGAGGGGCAAGGAAATGTAAGTATATACCTGCGTACATGCAAGGTTAAAATAGTAACCGAAGAAAAACTACACATGTTTTTAATGCCTTGTGGAAAGGAGAAGGGGGAGAAGAGGGTGCCACCGGAGTAATTTTCAGCCAATATATTTGTTGTGGGTACGCAGACACGTGATAAGTTTTTGTGTGAACGGTCCAGTATGGTCTGAGTAGTGTTAATATCATGTGACTGGTCACTTGAGTAGTATTATCAAATAGAAGGTGATGAGGAAAAGTAGATTTGAGAGTTAGGTCATTCGAAGGCTCTTTCATATTCCGTGGTGCAAGAGAGAATATTTATAATTCCCTCCCACCCACCCAATTTGAAGGATTTTTACTTTATCAATTAAAAAAATGTTACGTTTGTTTGTTTAAATAAATATATTTCATAAATAAATACGAGATATGATAAGTTAAGATTAGAAAGAATAGAGAAACTAGTTTTAGTATTAGTTCAAGCTTTTCACTGTTTTATTTATTTCATATCAGAACGTTTTAATTTTTCAGCTCGGATCCTGGTACGGCAGAAGACAAAGCAAGATGGAGTTTTCTTTAAAAAAAACTCAAGAACTTATCATTATCATTATTATTTTAATACCCCTTTTAAAAAGATTTTCGTTTTACATATATTTGTTTTAATCATTTCGTTCAAAGTTTGTAAAAAAAAAAATAATAGCAAGAATATAATTACGGTTTTCAATGTTCACCAATGACTGTATTTATGGCAATACTTTCAACTGGAAATAAAGCACACGGAACGAAACGAGCGCTTCCACCCCTAACACTGTGTCTCCGTTTATAGCCTACTATAAATATTTTATGTTCGTTTCAGTGTAACGAATTAGAACGGAATGACCATCATTAGATCTAGCTGTATCGAGGTGCCTTTGGCAACCAATTGTCTTCTGACCACAAACGTTTAAAATTCACTTACCTTCCCAATATGAATAACAGTGACACCTGGACAGAACATTTGGATTGTTTTAATTGGTTTTATTATACAGCCATCGTTTTGCTCCAAATTGTTGTATTTATTTGGCAAAATTAATTGCCCTGTACTAAATACCACACATTATATACAGCATACAAAACATAACATCAATGTAATACATGTATATACTACAATTTTAAATATTTAGTATTCAAATACATAATCAGTACAATAAGTGGGGAATAAGTTTACAAGCAAACGAACATTAATTCTTTGCAGATGCGAATTATTTGCTTCTTTTGTCCCAACAGCCTATGTTGACCATACATTACAGTACATTCAGAGCTAAAAGTATAACTTACTCGGTACTGTCCAGTAGAAATATGAAAATCAATATTCAATGTATCAAAATTCCAACCAATCAGAAGCATATGCTTTCAAATATTTACAGTCACAGAAACTGAAATTTAAAATTGCAAGTCCAAAAAAACCAAATAATACTGCAAGTGATCTCTTTGCAAATTGCACTCAACCTGGATTTCCTAGCACCTGTTCTAGTTATGTCAAGCTTTTCAGTCCAACCTCAAACTGTTCATCCGATAAAACTGAAAACAGAACATAAAGATACGATATAAAAGTCTGATAATAAACTGTACATCTTTAAATATCTTATGTCAAACATTATTCTGCATTTAGGCAACACATTTTGGATTATTAATATTATTATTATTATTATTATTATTATTATTATTATTATTATTATACAGTAACAGAGCCCATAACTGATACGCATTATTTAAAGTTTGTCATCTGGACTAAAGACTAAAATAATAAATAAATATTATTATTTTTATTAGCCAACATTTGACTGACAGGGAAATGAAGCAGAATGTATCTTGCATTACAGATATATACAGTATAACCCTGCGTGAAACACTCCTCACCAAGTCTCTGAATTTGAAAGTCTTCATTGGTGTCCTTACAGTGATCCAACATCGTTGCAAAATTTATACTGCGTCTGCAATATAAAATGTCGGTTATATATTGTGTTTTCGTTGAATCAAAATATGCCTCTTTTTCCTACGGAACTTGTACAAATTCACTATTTAAGAGATTTAAATACTAGCTTCAACTGGCACTACATCAAGATAATCCTCAACTGTGCAAAATGTCCTACTGAATTAGCCAACAAAATTTCTCTCAATGGTTAATCAGGGACTGGATTATTTGAAGGGGGCGTCCGCCGATGCAAAGCCGACCCTCCTCCCGTTGGCGTGGGTTTTTTGGCCCGCTGAAGGGCACGAAAGCGTTTGGCATTATAGAGGGCGAAAGGTGCCATTTGATACGGTTTAGAACTATGATTCAACTATTCAAAATTCTTATTTAAAGAGGGGTCATTGGTGTAATTTTTTTCTTTCAGAAATGGAAGGGGGGGGGGTCAGGATCCCCCTGACCCCTATAAATTCACCACTGTTAATAATCCGGCCCGATGTTGATAGTCGTTTATTGTCATATCGTTATCTTACCTCACTCCCATGACATCCACCTCGACAGTGCCCCGGATGTTATCCTGGTACGCATGCTCCAAACGCATGTTGACGTCACTGGGGTACATCACCCACTCCATGTTACGTAACCACTGCCACACCACGTGTTCTCCTTCTACAGATTGTATAAAACACCAGCATTAACAGTGAGCATTGTATATCTATTAATCGCTTTGGGTAACATAATAACATAATAATAATAATAATAATAATAATAATAATAATAATACTCATTATGATGGTTGTACATGTCTATACACAAAGTAAAATACTGCTTATGTTAGCCTTCAGATGATATTTTCGTTCACTTATTCGGGCACGTATGTAAACAACATTTCCTACTGTATTATATTATGAAGTTAAATATATCATATAGTATATATTTTGTCTTCCAAAAACAAAAAATAGACAAAAATAAAGTGCTATACAATTTGAGGACCATACCTTTAAACTGAATTCCCGTTGCCCCTTCGGCAGTGTTCGGGGTGGAGTTAGGGGTTGTCTCCTCATCCCTGAAATAATTAAAAATAATTAAATCAAGTAGCTTGAGTATATACATGTACTTGTAAGCAACGTATCAATTCTTAACAAACTTGGCAATTTGCAAAATGGTCGAATACACATGGCCTGTATTGACAAAAAAGAAAGAGAGAAAACTTACACTATCTCCAGGTCAAAGCATCCGTCAAACCCGTATCTGTAGTCGTATCCCTGCCTGGTCGGCCACATTACCTAATTGTGAATGGAAAGTCTGTCTTAACAGTCATCTTTATTGAATATTTTATGTGTACCGCACGGCTGCGCATAATTCTGCATGGAAAGCTAGTAGTAGGCCAAGGTACATGTATAACTTAACATCAAATATCGCAACACAAACTAAACAAAAACGCAAATGATATTCTCTTAAAAGTTTTTATAAGGAACAATTTGATTATTACCTATGTTTAATGTAAACAATTTATTCTTAAATATATGGTTTTAGAAATAAACCTTCATCATTTTAACTTTATTAGTATCACTACTATTTGGACATCAGTTCTCAAGGGCAGAGTAAAAGGTGCTTACATTGACCAGCCCATTTTCTTGAACTCGAAACACTACACCAACGTTTCCCTTGCCGCCATCTTGGTCTTGCCACTTCCAATCCGGACCTAAGAAAACAGTCACGTATGATTGGTTCGCTGTCCTCTAATAATATTACTATAGTGACGAAGACGAATTAGAGCATCCAAGCGTTTATTCACCGACTGATTTTTTATAGAAATTCACAAGTAGTTTTACTCTATTTTTAGACACTGATCACGCATTTACTTGTTTTCGTTAAATTGTATTTTGCGTGATAAGCAGTAATATTCCATTCTCATGTTGCATTCCACTATTCAAGACTTTCTTTTTACCTAATTACTAAGTGACTTGATTTCAATAAAAAAAAATTAAATATTATCTAAATTTATCATGGTTTGATCATATAAAAATTCAGTTAACATGTGTCATGCACGTGCTGTAAACTTACAATTTGATTCTGAAATTAAACCATCAAATAAAGCTTAATGTGACTTTGACATTTTCCAACTTTTCCCTGCTTCAAAGAAAAAGGTTTTACACTTTGTGACTCTTCAGAAAGTTAACTGCAAGTTAACTGCTCACTGACTGCAAATTCTTTTACCCATTTGATTTCTCTTAATTATAACTTGGGAGAGCGTAAGCTATTAACTTTCTAACAATATCACATCTGTACAAAACAAACGACAATCTTCTTTGTGTATATTAAAAATCCCACAATTTCAACACTGGACCAAGACTGAGTGCATCAAAACAATTTGGCATCAGAATCATTTATTGCTGTTAAATTTACCTCGTACAACTTTGACGCCAACTGCTATCAACTCGTCTGCTTTCAGCTTTCGTGGCTCATTCACTTGAAATATGTCATATTTATCTTCTTCTCCAAAGCGATAGTTTCTTGTCTGGCTGTTAGCGTCCCAGTTAACAAGGACCCATTCTGCAAATATGCATTCGATATGATTGCCACCAATATTACGCAGCAGGTAGGCCTATATATTTCTCATATTTTATGTCAGAAACTGGCTATCCACTGGGTTAAACTCAGGAAAATAGATTAAATCAATTAATTTTTATTGGCATGCTCGTAAGCTGAATAGATGAATAACATTGAATATTTGTTTTATAATATAATTATGCTTGTACAAAAAGAAAGGAATGCCTGTACAAAACGAAAGTAAAAGTTAAAGTGAATTTGACAGAAATGAAAAATAAACAGACGCATCATTTGTTGCTTTATGTAACAAGAACGCATGACTCCTTGCAAGTATGACCAAGAAAGACTAAACAAAAGTGAAAATAAACGAAAAGAGTAGTTTCACTTGCTTCGTTTTCCATATCCGACCACAGTGCCCGGTCCACCGCCATCTTGATCCTCCCACTTCCAGTCGGGGCCTCTCCGGACCCTTGTTCCTATTGGGAGGTGGACCTGTACTTCCGGGTCACTCTCCCTGCTGTCGTCATCTTTGTCGTTCTCCTGCAGTTCCAGTATCATGTTGAACATTTCTTTCTGGAATGTTAATGAAAGAGGACCGCTATGAAGTCCGAACGAAAAAAAATAATAAGAAAGAAAGAAAACAGCAGCTTCAGTTACTGATGCTTTACACCAATATAAATAAGATGTTATAAAGTTCATCTCTAAAAAATGTTGTTGTTTTTTTTTCTGATCGATTGCGACAGGAATGGTATTCCTAGAAATGGAAGTCCGGGGTCCCATATGATTAGTACAGGTTAGGGTTAGCGGTGTGACAGGAATGGTAGTCCTAGGAATGGAAGTCCAGGTTTCCATATGATTAGTACAGGTTAGGGTTAGTTGGGGTATTGGGGTTAAATTATGGGACCAATGTCACCTGTACCAACTAATGGGGAACTGACTCCCTATTCTGGGAGTTCTAAGCAAATAAATGCCCCAAAGAACACAGCTTTCTTAGGACAAAGACAGGACGATATAATACCATATCAAATTCACTCATGTCGGCCTCCATGATCTCGGCGCCCTTGGTGGCCTTCATCCAGTATTCAAATGTTTTCACGTCCTGACCCACCAGTCTCTTCATGTCGTCTGTACCTGCGAGGACAATACACATAGCCCATATATATATATATATATATATATATATATATATAGAGAGAGAGAGAGAGAGAGAGAGAGAGTGAGTGAGTTATCCATGTTTTATTGCATTTGGTAATTTACACGTGGGAACGTACCCCATATAGGCCCTATAGGCCTATTTTTGAATAATCATTATCAGGCTTGTTAGACAAACGATATTTAGGCCTCGCAGTACTACTAAGCCTAGGTGTACAACATGTACTGGTACATGTTTCCATGTATATATCCTAATTATTAACTATGTGTATAAACATTATTTCTATGATGTGTTTGTTGCAATGATAAAGCTGGCCTACATTTAACGTGCGCGTACAACGTACCACAACGTAGAGCATTTCCGTTACAAAAACATCATTAATTACAAATTTTGTTATGCAAGATATGAATGAGAAGAACAAAGGCACTGGTGGCAGTAAGTGAAAAAAAAAGATAGTTGTCTTACCTTTAAATGGAGCAGCAAATCGGCACACCCATACCTAAATAAAAAGTATCAAAATGCTTGCAATAGGGTATAATGCGGTGTAAAAACAAAATAGGTCTATTATTCTATTATGTAAGGGCTTATAGGCCTACTAGATGTTATAATCTGAGCATAATCTGTCCATTATTACACTGCTGGCATCGTTTTCTTCAAATATGAGTGAAACGTTTATAGGTAAACCTTTAAAAGGAGACGTCAAAACATATTCTTGGCAACAAATGAATCATAACTTTAAATAAAGATATATACGGCCTAACTTACTTAACTTAAATAACTAGAAAACTAACTTAATGAATGCGTGAATAAACGAATGAATCGGTGAATGAAAACGAACTGCCAAGAGCGTTTGATAGCATAACCACGCGTTTTACCTTTCTTTTGTAATATCCGCCAAGTTTCCGCCAAGTGACGTCATCGTCAGCTGAAAGCAGCACACCGTTCCCAATCTTAACGACGGATGTCAGGAAATTCTGAAATAATAATCATATTCTTCTAATAATTATAAATCAAAAGAAACGATCTATTTCAATGTCTACAGTTATATTTCACGCACACGATGTCGAAGAGAGCTGCATCTCTCAATAATGTATTTATCATCCTATGTCTAAGTCTAATAAAATCTACATAAATGTTTTCATGTTAAAGAGCGTTTATTTTCAAGAAACTGAGAGAGAGTGAGAGAGAAAGAGAGAGAGAAATTCACCGTGTCAATCTTCCCCCCACAAGCAATGAAAGTGGTAGCAGCTTTATTATGGCGGTCTGTATCATCAGCGTACATCTGAAGGGCCGTCGCTGTCTTATATTTAGCCTGAAACAGAATGGGGGAGAATACATATCGGCCAAAATGTTTTTCAACAGGTTAATACATGATTAATACCCGCGGTTAATTCACTCAAAGTGTCAGCTAATACAGCTGAGATAAACTTGTTTTTGATATGTCGGGGTGTAGTCCATCTTAAACTGTAAAAGGTGAACGGGCAAAAGTCTGCTGGCGCACGCACACACACGTGCGCACGCACACGCAGCACATGTACACATAACAAAGTATAAAGTCTGTTTCCCAGGGCACTTATGTTCACAAGTGATGACTCTTTTCAACAGGTAAGAAAAATTGACATTCTTTTCGCCGAAACAAGCCCTCCGCACTCACCGTGGTGGACCCAAATGGTACGTCCTCCGCCCCGACGTCGTTCTCATCACTAGGGTGACCGTCTGTAAACACCAAGATACGGGCCGAGACCTTCCTCCCGGATACCACCAACTGTCCAGCTGACCACGGAGATAGAACACATATTTCATAATAAAGAAGGGATGTATTGTGAGGAACGATGTCCACGTTATGACTGTCGCAGTTTCACCACATTTTAACGTCGTTAAAAGGACGGTAGTCGTTTAATTAAACTTAATTAAATTTAATTCAAATCCAGTTAATAAATCCGGCAAATTAATTAAATTAATTTGCCGGATTTATTAACTGGATTTGAATTAAATTTTTGGATATCTTTAATTAATTAAATTAATTAAACTGTTAAGTTTTACCGTATATTTAATTTTCATCTATACAGTGTAGATCTAAATCAAGAGCAAAAATACAATGTTTATTAATAGTCAACCTATAAAGAATGGGACACCGATCTCGTATATTAAATCCTTGCTGGTTTCTCTATCTAAATGGTAATACTCACAGTTTCTCTGAATTTCCCGCTGTGCCTCTAATATCCCGGGGACAAGAGGTGACATTCCTTGGGGTTGGATATTTTCTGGAGAAAACCAACAGACGCATTCTAAGTGATATGCTATGGTTGAAAGACGAGGTTTGTATCATAATCGGTTGTCGAATAATTTATCTAAAGGAATCCTACTTTGACAAAAATCAACATGTGCCTTTGTAAAACAAATAAGATGTTTCACTAACAACTGACTGCACTGCACTCTTGTCAAAAAACTTTGTCAAAGACTTCACGTCTATCAATAATGACGTCAAATAATCGTCTATAGTATCATTGGTTTGATGAACGTAAGAAACTTAAAAAAGTCACACAAAGACACACATGAAAGCAAACATACACATTCTCTCTCGCACACATATGCACACACACACACACACACACACACACACACTCACAGAGAGAGAGAGAGAGAGAGAGAGAGGAGGGAAGGGTAAGATGTACCCAATGCACGTCTTATCTGGTAGTAATCCGTGGTAAGAGGCACTACTGTCGCCGCAATTTCTCCCCCAAATGTCACCAAAGCCACGTCCTCTTCAAACTCGTAGATGTTGTTTGCATATTCCATGTCTGAGAACAGAAAATAATAACTAGCATCACACATATATCTGATGCAAATAAACAGAAATGAAAAATTATACAGAATCCAATCTAACCAATTTTACACAATGCTCAACAAATTAAATGAAATTGTTTATAGAGTCGCCAGTTAATTATATAAATGTCATCTTTATTAAAAGGGGAAATTCATGTTCATGTAATGGTTTCCAAACTGACATATTTCTTAGCAAAACACGTAACGCTTGGTTTCATGTCTTACCAAATCTACCGGTACCTTTCGTGAAGTGAGGCAAGTAAAATCAACTGTCCCCAAAAAAAAGACAAAAGTTCGCCAAGTGGGACTGGCACTGGACCAGTTCTTAATAGTTCCAAAATCTTTAATTTAATTAAAACTTCAAAATAAGTGCTAAATTTCACTTTTAAATTTTGGTACTAGTATTATTCTAAATTTTCGGAATTGCCCCTGTTATACTGCATGCATAATCTGATCCTGGTTAATCTTTAAAGACAAGGCTGGCATCATGTACCGTCCAGCATCTGGTTAATCCCTCTCTTCAGCCGAGTGAAGGGCTCTCCCTGCATACTGCCAGAGACGTCCACACACAGCACCGTGTCCAGACCGCTTGTTTTCCTCTTACTCCATCCTGGGGGACGACACAATAAATAAATAAATAAATAAATAAATAAATAAATAAATAAATAATTGTGTGTGTGTGGTTATAAAAAGTGGACGCGTGTCGTTCATTAGATTACAGTCATTATTCGTCAACAATTAGGATAGTTAAATCTTCTCTTGCCGTTCAACCCTCCATCTTCTTTCTCTCTCTCTCTCTCTCTCTCTCTCTCACACACACACACACACACTTACTTCCTGTTCTTGGATTAGTTATTGGTTTCAACACACTGGGCGGCGGCGTTTCTTTCTGCTGATCTGTGTTCGGAATTGTCTGTGCTTTTGTTGTTTGTTCTATCGTCTGCTCGAGGGGCAGTCCAGGCTCGGTCTCGAAGTGATCTTCATTTAGAATTGGGTCGGCAGCACTAGCTTTTTTTGAAGGAACACCATATCCTTCCGCACCATTTGGTTTGATGTTTTCACTTTGATGTCCACCAGATTTACAAAATAACCTGTTAGTTAACCGCTCTAAATCAACTATGAGATTTTGTTTTTCAATGTATTGAGGGAGGTCATCAAAAAACTTTTGCCAAGACTCCAAATCCTCTAATAACTTGGCTTTTTCTGATTCAAGCGTTTTAATTTTAGCAGTTGCATTTTTCAATTGTTCATTTGCCTTCTCAAGATGTCGCGTTTTTCTCCCCAGCTCTAACGCCATACATCTTTGGCCCGCGGTCACTTTAAATTTTCCTACATCCTCGGCTAGAACCTCAAATGCTAATGTTGTTAGCTCTGCCTCCTCAACACTTTGTTGAAGTTTTTCAACCTTCTCCATCTCTGCTTCTAGTTGTGACCTGAGCGTTTGTACAGTAGTTCCTTCAGTCTGTTCTCCAAGAGCGTTGGTAAGTTTCACAACTTCACTTTGCAGTGCCGCGATTTCATGCTCCTTTTCTTGCATTGCTCCAGCACTTCGGTTGCACCTTTGGCGAAGATCGTTCAACTCCATTTCCTTCTGTAGAATTTTACCACTGGTTTCTCCGAGGACATTAGAAAGGCGTTCGAACTCGCCATCCCTTCGTATCCGCTCATGTTTATTATTTTCAATTTCCTGATTGCAATCATCGAGTTGTTTCTGCAGGGAAGCAACTTGCTTCTCCCTAGCCTGCAAGTATCTCTCTATCCGTTCGCGCTTGAGTTCATCTAAGTTTTTATTTTCATTACGAAAAGCATGCATTTTTGTCACAACATCAAAACGCCCATCCTCAAACGCCCAAAGAGAAACGTCTTTTGATGTGGGGACGTTTGAAGGTAAGGCACGGTTGGAATCCAATAATGCCGCCACTTTGAGGGCGGAAGGGGGGTTATCTTTCCGTGGACCGCGGTCGACAAAGTCGTCTCTACAGCCGTCTAAGAATTTACCTGTGGGGAAATTAAAGTATGATCAATTCATTTAAATACTACATATAATGCAACAAAAGTTACCAAGCATATATATTTGAAATATAAAATATTCTTTTAAAAAGATAACATTTTATCACAGTATTCATTATGATACAATGACAAAATGAGTCACGGAATAAACCTTGGTTCACAAAGACTGTCAAATTCATTGTCTCCGATTTAAGATCTTGCTGCTGGAATTATCACATAAATTAGTAAAAGAAGAAATGCTTACCCCCTAAAAGCGTTCGTCCCTTCAGGTACTCTGCCCACGTCATAGGCGTAGTTATGTCCAGTGTCAACCTAAGCCCGGGAACAAGATGGCGGATATCGTCTGTCAGCAGGATCGACTCCAAATGTCTTTTCAACGGGGAGTCCCGCCCACGTGACCACTGCCAGAACGCGTCCAGTTGGTCCAAGTCCCCAAACTTCAGGTCAAAGATGAGACTTCCCTGGGAAATGGAATCAACTTGCAGGGGAGTTGTTAACCTGGCCAAAGAATAGGCGACCTCCTTCTGTCTCGTCTGGTCGTTCAGGATGTTGCTCTGAAGCACAGATTCCGCCGTGGCCAGCTGCCTTTGTACAGTGTCGCTATGAGGCCCTTGCACCTCGGTGGTAGGACGTACTTCCAATTGCCCGTAGACATAACCTAGGATGGAAATACATCCATGTAATTAGTCTTGCTATGTCTACAATCACCTTTAAGAAATATAATCCAGATGGCATGACCTATGATCTTATTTTCCTAACGAACATTTATGTTGGTTTTAGCAAATCATTAATGAGTTTGACATTTAGGTTAGATTCTATATCCCTAGTCCCGGGGAGGTAATAAGAAGAAGAAGAAGAAGAAGAAGAAGAAGGAGAAGAAGAAAAAAAAAGAAGCATGTTTGGCGTACTTTTCTTTCCCTCCAGTGCCTCGACAATGAAACCGCTTCCCGTCTTGGTGAGTGCTCGTTTAAGAGACGCAAACGCGCGTGCACCTCGCTTACGAAGTATTTGTATCAAAAAATGTGTGTTTTTCTCGAGGTTTGATTTTTTACTCTCAAGGACTTCGCGGTCCGACTCCACTAGAACAGCGTCTTCGTACAAGTAGGGATACAGTGGCGACATCCGTAAGTTCTCAACAAGAAACACAAAGTTATTCTGTATAATATCCCTTTGCCACTGTGTCATGGAACCTGGAAAGAAATAGATGTCGCTACAATCAAGGAACAAGACAGCATATTTTGATGTAATATACCAGAGAAAGGTTTATTAGGGAACCGTGATGCCATTGCTACATTTAAAACCAGGCGGTGAATGTCACACAAATGAGGTGGAAAAAGATAAGCAGAAGTACAATCTAACAAATTCTAAAATGAATCCAATTTATTAAATGTCCCAAAAACTTTATTTTGTTTCTTTTATATGAGACCATGAAATGATAATGTAACCTAGTTTTGTATTCAGCTATCACAACTGCTATCTTTATCACTAAGCATATCACATCATTTCGTGGAACACTGGCTAATACACAATATATCAAGACTAGTAATCACCAGATAAACCAGCAGTCTTAGGGCTCATTTCTAATGAAACTATTGTTTTACATAGATCGACCCTAGTCCAAGGGGACTCTTGCTAAACGCAATCAGATTAGAGCTCATCACGCCTCCTTATGAGTAGAATACAGAAACGCTGGTTATTATTTGAGTACGTGGAAAACAAGAGGAGGCGAGTTAATCCGTTTATCTGATTTGAATTCGGGCTTGGGTCGATCTACGTAGAACGACAGTTTCTTTGTGAATGGGCCCTTATGCTATCTCGAATGATCCACACTGGGATTTCCAACAGAAAGAACAGCTAGAACACACACGTAGAAGCTGGTGGGAAGTATTCTTTATTTCACAAAAGATTCAAGCTGTTGATTCCAGAAATTCTGTTCACATGTTCCAACCTGATTGTTCCTCAAGGGGTGTCTCGTCAACAGGTGGCGCCAGCGTGGTTAGAGCTGGGTTCAACTGTTGGTTGCTTTCAACGGGAACTCTTGAATAAAAAATAGGTTCCATGAAATCCACTACTTAATTTACCCTCGATCTTACAATCAATATAGCCCAATTTCTTTTCTGTATGACTTTCGAACAATGTTTGAATAAAGGAAAATGTCGATAATTGGTTATCTCATAGCTAGTCCGAGAATTAAATATGACGACCCACTACAAAGCTTGCCGTCTAATCCGCTAATAGACACTGAATAGATTCCCTGTGGGGAATTATTCAAGTGGGTTAGCCATCTTTGACCCTCGGACTAGTTAGTCCCCTATTCTGTATGGGCCCTATGGTGAATTATTAGAGGGGAAACAACAACTGGTAGTTCTACAATGGTCTTTGATACGACCCGACCATGGGCATTGCCCCCCTCCTGAAACAGAGGGCTTGTAAGCATGCAGTAGGGCATACGTCTTTCTCTAGTAATATCCCATATATGGTCTTTGTTCGTGTTAATACCTTACAGCTGATACATTTAAAGTCAGCATAACATGATCGTGTGGTGCTTTTTATTTAATACTTTTGCTTGTTCCTGTTAGTCAAACCAAGTCATTTCAAACGAAAGGTAGATTAAACAATCAGATAAAATAATCCCAATGCTTACAATGAGAACCCGGAGACTTGTGTCTGGTCTACTGGCGTAGCTGGATCATCATTCCGTCTACTAGATGGCGCTGTGGTTTTTAAGGACGTTTCTTCCCCTAAATTCTCATCCCCACTCACAGTTGCTGTTGCCGACTTTAATAAGAAGAAACAATCCACTTAATAATCAACTTAATCAACTATTTTTTGCAAATGTCCGTATGTAATGTTGAGGATTAAACCGTCGTGAAATTTAAGCATAAAAATAAGCTACTTGCTTTTTTCATAATGGCATGTTGTAATTTTTAAAAGTAAACATAAATGCGATATTCTATTGATTTATTAACCAAAAAAAAACTCCCTATACGTGGTAATTAAAACCCCCAAAATCCATTCATATATCTTCATGTATTCATTCATATCTCTTGAATATATATAAAAATCACCGATTTACCGAGTAATTGGGTAACACGTCCGGATTTGAGGCCGTTAGCTCGGTGTCAGATAGCTTTGATTCATCGGTGGATATCTGTTGCCCAAACTGGGGTTTCATCACCTCAGCTACAGCAAAAGTGAAACGGATGATGTCAAAGGAAAGTGCAACGACACGGCAGTGACGCACCCACCTTGTGTAATATTTTCAGTACTAATTCATAGTCTATAACTTTTTAATTTGTTTTTTCTTTCATATTGAAGAATTACTGAAGTGTAAAACAAGAAAATCTGAGCGTGGCTAAAGTAAACAAGGCAGCAAAGCTGACAAATGTACAGACAAAAAAACAGAAAATAAAAATGCAAATAAGTGAAAAATTAAATTTTCACAAAAAACTGTTAAATTGCCAGAAAAATTTACCAAACAGACTGCATTGCCTATTGAAGCTGTATGTTAGACCCATGTTTCTTTCCTGTAAGTTTGAGAACAGTAAGTGACATGATTTCCCTTAAATGGTCATCATAGGAGCAGTGCCCAAAATAGGGGTTTCTTCAAATTTTGATGCAACATTACATAATGTTGAACAGCATGATGACAATCAAATGTTATTAGTAAAATATTAGTAACATGGACATTCAGAAAATGTGACAAGCAAAAGTCTTCATAATCATGGAACTTTAAAGTCACACCTTGTAAATGCCAATATGTGAAAAATTAAATTTTCACAAAAAACTGTTTAACTGCCAAAAAAAAAAAAGAAAAAAAAAATACCAAACAGACTGCATTGCCTACTGAAGCTATATTTTAGTCCCAGGTTTCTTTCCTGTAAGTTTGAGAACAGTAAGTGACATGATTTTCCTTAAATGGTCATCATGGAAGCAGTGCCCAAAATAGGGGTTTCTTCAAATTTTGATGCAA